TTCGAGGCCATTGGGGGTTGCTTAGGGTGTAAACCCAATCGTCGGCAGCAAGCCGGCGTGATATAAGCAGTGCCCATAACGCCAGTATCAAAAAGGATACATGCGGGCTGATAACCAACACAGCCCATAAACATCAGTCGTGGATAGTCATACGTCACGCCACAAATGCGATGCCAAACTACTCCCACTGGGGGTTCATAATATACATTGACTGGCCAAGGGATACCAACTATTGCAGTACAACCTAGTTGGTCGACTGACGGTTGGGTGAACAATAGTGTGCCCTTAGGATAATGCACCAGGGTGCACATTCCACAAGTGTGGGTGTTCTGTAAAACACCTCCATGCATGAAGTAAGATACATGCACCAGTTTTGGTGGGATCTTTTGCATGTTCTGTAAAGTAATATTTCAGGAATGGTGTGGCATTCTGGAACGGTGGATTAATCCACACAAACTCATTCTGCAAGGGCTGTGTCAAAAGCTCTTTGCAGTTGAACAAAAACGCTCACAAAGAGCATTATCCCCTTTGGGGTTAGCACAAGCATCCAATGTAAATTGGTGGGCCACAAGAGATTGGATATTCTGAAAGTGCTCGCGACGAAGCATGCGGTCAGAATGGTTTGACTGCAAATTGCTACCCTCCCGGGTTGTTGAGTCATTGAGATTCATCATCTATTTCTCCAAACGTTTACTGGCTAATACATTCACTGTAGTCATTTTAGGTACAGGTACTATAGGTGCAACAGTTTGCCAGTAGTTCATAGGTTGAACTCGCAAAGTTTGATTATTCACATTACTCTCTTGCACCTGACAGCAAATTGCATTCACACAGTAATGTGATGTGCTTTGCTCCACTTCTTTGGCGGGGATCTCACCTTCATTGTTGGCAATATACCGCGCTGGTCACAAGTACCATCTGACAGATGCCCGGCGTAAAATGGCTTGAAACATCAGAAGCATCGTCCCGCCCGCTTTAACACCTCAAGTGTGGTGTCCTTGAGCTGGGAGGTACTTGTAACGGGTTTGCCCTCCATAGGATTACGGATGGCCTCAATGGGCTCGTACCCGCAATCTGCTTGGGCTTCCCCTACATGTCCACATTCTAAACTTTACGAACCAATACTCCACGAACTCTGGATTTCATATGGAGAATGGGTTTTCCCCTGTTATCAACCTTCAAAGCATGATGCTTTTGGATGATCCGGTTCACTCCAAGGTTATCGCTTATATTATTTTTGTCAATGCGGCTGCTATTTTGACGAGAACCATATGACTTATATTTTTGGTCATATATTGGCGTGTTGGTGCAGTCCCCCCTTGGCTGCGTCCAAGTACCCTAGCCCACGCTCTAGGGCCTCTCCGGTGGAAGCGTGGTCGTCCTCGGCTGGACGGCGTGTCCCGGGCTCTCTTTGGCCCGTGGGTGATGGCCGCTCTGTGCGGTCCTGTCCAAGGCACGCGGCGGCTGCGCTCAAGGAGATAGGGAGGCAGTGTGTTCCAGAACGATCAAACTACAATCGGCGCCACTGCCAGGCGCTCTTACATGTGGGGGCCAATTTCATCAAAGTCGTCATATTCATTAAGCACCTCCATTTTGGCCAAACCCGTTTCCTGGCTAAAGGCCTTGCTACGCTTGGCCCTTACGCCAAAGTCATTCCGGCCTGCTCTGCTTCGCTCCACATATGGCCTCCACGACTTTGGCGATGGGCCAAGCTCCGCTCGGCAAAACAAGAAAACCAACGGGTCATTACCACATGGTGCCACTTTATACAAATGCACAATGCACCCAGACCGTCCTCAAAGCCCTCATTTCTGTGCAGCAAAATGGCCCAAACATGGCCAAAGTCCCAAAATCGCCTCGCTGCACTTGATGCTCCAACACCCTTACAGGAAAAATGGGTATAAGGCTTTCAAAAAGTTGTATAGGCATAGCAAACAGTCCTCACAATATTACATGGGCATCCAAAATGCTGATGTACTAGAGGTTTTGAGATATGACATAAGCATAGCAAACAAAGAAGTGGCATAGTAAAAAGTGTATTTATGGGAGATAGGCATACGATGGTAAAAATACCTTATACCCATTTTTCCCATAGTAGTGTTCTCCATGAAGGCAAGGATAATTGGTCCACGCGTCTTTGCATCGCATCTCACTCTGTTTGCATAAAGAAGCAAAGACAATGCTCACACAACACTTCACCTTTGCACCCACCAATGCGCCCCCTCTTGCGCTTCCGCATTCTTGGCATGGTGGGGCCTCCGAATCCCTGTGCTTCCAGGGCCTGCTAATGGCGCCATCGAGCGCCGCATCCTCGGCACTGCATCCCTAACACTGCGGCCAGTGCAGTGCCGCTTCAGCACCGTTTCAACTCCATATTCTTTCCCGCATTGCTCTGCACTACTTCCTCCTCTAACGGTGATTTTTCGGCGCTTCTAAACCTCCATCTCCATAGCTTCAATTTGTTGGCGTTTCCCACGCTGCTTCCATGCAACTCGATCCGTACCCGATTTTGGCTCTATTTCTCATTGCTACGCCCCTCGGTCGCGGCTTCACCCGACGCCACCATTCCCAGTCCCATCCACCAGCCATCTTCCTCATGGCTCCGCACTCTGAAACCACCTGTTACGGGGCCCTTTTCAATGACCTCCGCTGGTCTCTTTTGTTGTGCGTGTCCCACTTTATCCGCTTGCACCCGGTTAGGCCGATGGCCCCTCCGCTAAACCCGGCGGGTGTAATTGGGGTGCTCGCTCATGCTATGCATGGTGGGCCCTCTTGCACTCTGCGATCGGGCAGTCCTGCCATTCGAAGATGGTGGGGTGCAAGACAACTGGCTCCCTGGGCCACGAAGCCCGGGTGGAGTGAGGCAGTGAGCCAAACGGGGTAACAGAACGGGGAGCAATGCACTTTCGTGTACGTACTGGTGGTCGACCACATTCCGGTCTGACCACCCATTACACAAACACCACAAAATGTACATCAGCATATTATGGTTGTATCGCCCGGCATACCCATGTGTCGGACCTACTATCGATACATCGCAGCCCAGTCTGCCCCACAGCCTATACCTTAAGTATAGGGACTGCCCTAAGCCACAAATTACTCCATACTTGGGGGATTTAGATAAAGAAAGAGCCTACGAGTATCTAGAGATCACAAAGAATCCAAATAATAGGGCTGATCCCACAGATGACTAACCAACCAAGACTCGTGGCCATAATTCTCTTGACCCCCATGTGTTTTCACAATATGGATGGTCGTGACTAGAACTTGGAAGCTAATGCCAACTGGAGCATCCAAAGACACAAAAGAGCATGGAAAGAAGCACAAAGAGTGGCAACTTGGTAATGCGGGCACAAGGAGTGCCGATCGCTCTATTAGAGCACTTAGTAAATGCCAGCACACACCTCAGTGGCTAGGGGCATTTTGGGGGCGCCCTACTTGCCAGTGTAGGAGATGTACCTGCAAGGGATGTACTTGCATGCACCATTGCTGTTACTTTAGGGATCATACCCCTGCTACCTAGCAGGTAGTACCTGCCAGCCCAGGCGCAATTTCTGCAAGTCCAAACGCAATTTCTACCTGCCCAAGCACATATTCCGCTGGCTTAGGTGAAATTTCAGTTGGTCCAGGCCCAGCTTCAGTTGGCGATGTACATGGTGGCACCCCAACCCAGCTGCATGGTGTACCCTCTAGAACCTGATTTTGTACAAGGAGGAAACGCTTGGCCTTCGCTCATGAACGCACTTGCAACAGGATCCACCACCAGCTCCAATTCCAGCGATAACCTCAACGCCGATCGCTAGACCATGTTTGGGTCCACGTGCTGGGCACCAGCAGCACGCGAGGTGAAGGGCAGCAGCCTCCAGGGACGCTGGGCAGGACGTGCTCAGCGCCTGGGCAGTGCTCGCCGACTGTTGGGTTGTTTTGACGGACAACTTGTTGTTGGTATTGGCGGGCATTTTTGAATGATATAAAGACATTGCGGCCCACCAGGTTTCGATGGGTCTGTGACAGTCAGGGACCACCCTCAGTGTCCCGCCGGGACAGCTCGGTTCCCTACTCGTGCTCCTCGTAGGGAACCTCAAACTATCACGCAGCGTGTCACACCTTTCCACGCGAGGGTGTTCTCAACAGCTACCTGGAATAAACCAATCCGCGCCAGTCTTTTCCGTAGTTTGGCTCCGTGCTCATACCACGGGGGGTGGGGTGGGGAAAGGGTCCAGTGATCGGAAGCCCCACGCACAGCATTGAACAGCACTTTCGCATCATCACGGGTCCTTGTCAAGAACCACGAAGGCCGCCAGGTCATCTGAGCTCCACCTTCCTGCTAGCCCCGGTTCTGCCCTGTGGCCCAGTACGTGCAGGGCGGCGCCCAAACCCTCACTTCCAGCACCCGCCGTGTAGCCACAATCCATCGAAGTTGCCGAGAGCACCCGGCAGGCGCCGGCTAGGCAACAAACGCCCCGGTGGCACGACCCGATCGCCAGCGCTCCTCAACTCCAGCACGCCCGGCGACCATCGGCGCATTTGGGCTGGGCTGAGGCTCCGGGGGCGAGGAGATCCGATCGCGGTGCTGGCCGCGGCATCCACGTGAGTGCACTGTCAGCCCGCGGCGGCTCCGCGCGATGCCGCGACGGTGACCCGCCGCGCCGAAAATTTCGATCCATCGCCCTCGAGGCGGAGCGCGTGCGCCCTCGATTCAGCGGCCCGTTCGCAAACGGCGAGCTGAGTTTCAGGACTCCTGCTTTGCTATTGTGCGGTGTGCGGAGCCGCCTTGGGGGGTGGCGCGAGAAAATGGCACCGAAAATGGCTGTGAGCCGGGGCTGACTGATATTAGCCGCTGCGCAGCACTGTTGGTAACGCCGGGTGAGGCCCACGGGGTTGCCTGGCGGGGCCTCGGCGGTGTGCGCGGGATTTGACGGGCGGATCGCCGACGCCCGGTGAACGGTCCCTGAGACGTCGACGGTGCTCCCGTGTGTTTCCCGCAGGGCGGGGTGCGAATGGAGGCGGACAGGACGCATCGAAAGGGTCAGGAGCCCAACAGGTTCACCCTGTTCGACGACCGGAACAGGAACCTGCCACCCAGCAGATCACGGAAGCACGACCCGCTCAAGAGCAAGTACGCGCTGCTGAGGGACTACAAAGTCGTGGCCAAGCCGTTTGCCAGGCGGGTGGCATCTGAGCCCAGCCAGCAGGAAGATGGGGCGCAGGGCGGGGAGGGGGGTGGGCCGGGCCCGGCCAGAACGGGCTCGGTTGCGGCTGCGGTTGCCCCTCGTGCCTTGCCGAGGAGGATCGCGTCCAGCAACACGCACCGGGACCGGAGGTATGACTTCCACGATGCGCTGGAGGAGGTGAACGTGGTGGAGGAACGGGAGGACGCGCGGGCCGCCCTGCGGGCGGGCTGCCCCATGCACAAGGCTCTGGCGGTGCTGCAGTGCGAGGCCGAGGTGCGTTGGCCGGGCGGGGTTGGCTGCGAGTGAGACTGTGGAATACAATGGACTGTCACTTTTTGCTATCCCCGTGCATGAGGAGATTCCTGAATAAGGTTATTCGCATCCTGCCGTCGGGCGATCGTCGCGTTGTTTTTGCTGCGAGACCCGACTGTTCCTGTCAAGCTGTCAGGGCGCGAGACACAGACTTGCAAATTGTCAAATCCTTGGCCCCTCGGAGGTGACCATTGTGCGGCATGCCTTCTTTCATTTGTTGCAACGACTCTGCCATGGCCTGGTGCAATTCGATGCTGCTCAACGTGGAAAGACGTTGCAAGCTGCGATGTGCAACCCCTTGTGATTGTATGTGTTGGGCATTGCCCTTGCAATGGAAGAAGATGCACAAGGCCAGCAACAGCGAGCAATGGCCACCAAAAGACAGTGCCCATCGTTGCAAAGGGACGTTTCCCCTGAGAATGCAGATGAAATCAAAGCAGAATTGACGAACGGGCAAGGTGGAAGGGCCTGCATGGTCTTTTCAGCGAAAATTTCAGCCCAATAATTTAGCACATGACGTTGCCAACAGTACACAACGAGGCGTTGCGTCCCTGTGCATCCCCACTGCAGTGGGCAGTGCACTTCATTGTGTAGCAAACTTGTGATGCTGCTTTCAACCCATGGAACATGCAGTCAGTGTAGATTGCATTGCATGTGTCCATATTGTGAGACAGGACATTGTCTGGTGTTGATGGTCCATTCTGCCCAATACCTGGCTTATGGTTGACTTTACAGCATCAGCTGAAGGTTAGCCCATCAAAATAGCATAAACCCAGCAACCCCACGGCACCACTTTGTGGTTGGAGTGCTGAAACACAGCCATTGGTGACCCCTTTCTATTGATTTTTGCGCTGGCAGGAGTCGGCTGATGGCGTCTTCTACCCATTAATATCTGTTCTTGCCGCAAAGCTGGGATTTCAGTTGTGGGGAAAGTGCTGGCTGGGGAAGTGCACTGCACCCAGTGAACAGCAGAGCAAACAGCTAATTTGGTGGCTGGATTGGCTTTGCGAAGGGGTGAAGAATGGCTGTGAGTTGTTTATCTATGTATACTCAGGTGAACATGAACATGCAGCCCAAAATACGTTCCTCGTTGTTCATCTGCCCCACTTTTCTACCAGAGTTGACAAGGCCAAACACACGCATGCACTGTGCATGCACTGCCCTCTGATGATCCTGAGGAACGGGTAGCATTGCACGGTCGTTTTCCTACCGGAGTTTACAAACTGAGCACAGTAGTTTGCTTTTGATACATTGTGAAGTGATGGTCATCATTCAGATGTGCATCTTTGTTTGGAAACGGGCTGCATCCAAGCACAGCACCAGCTTTGGGAGCTCGCTATTACTGGAAACTTTTGAATGCATGCACTGCTTCAACTGGACACACCTGTATGGCAAATGACAACATCCCCCTAGAAGGGAAATATAGAAATTCTGAAGAAGGGAAATATAGGAATTCTTCTCTTGCTTTTACCCACAAGGCCTGCCACACTCTCACCAATGTCTTTGATTGGCGGTGACAGAGGATAAGGGCAGTCTCAACCAGAGTGGGAAAGGGAACATCAATCTGGTGAAAGAGCTCACTCGACGTATTGAGGAAGTGCACAAAGCCGGGGAGATTTCCTTGGTGAGCAGAAGACCAACTCGTGTTGATTGAGTGTGGCCTGAGGTGCACTTGCCGCTGTTTTATTTATTGGACCAACTTGTATTAGTGGATCCCTGCTGTCACTCTGGCATCAAGGTCACTGTGGCATTTTCTTCTCAGTGCAAATCTGTTGTTGAAGTTGGGAGGTGCATGGTATTACAATGACTACTCCCATACTTTCATTTCTGCCAGTCACACTACAAGCAGTATAAGTGGAGCAATATTTGTGTGGCTTGAGCAGCTGTGAATATTGTGAACAGTACATCTGTGCACACTGTTGGGCTATCCAATCAGATAAAGAGATCCTGGTCATCTACAGGGTGATACAAGGTGCATTGTGCTTTGTGCTTTTGTGCTTTGTGGTGTGTACTGAGCTCGTATTCCTCACTTTTTGGCATTCACTGCATCGCACTGAAAACTTGTGTGTGCACCCTCTGGCCCCTCCAATTGTTAAGCCTGGAATCCCCATGATCCAAGATAGACAATATGTGTGGTGTGTTCATATGATGTTTTCCATGATGTGCAGCACTTGCTCGTGGATGGCGCCGAAGGGGCACACCTTCCATGGCATCTGCAGTACACCACAGGCCCAAATGCACAAGTGGGCTGGAGGAATGTGCACAAGTGTCCCCTTCGGGTGGGTGGCACCTGACGCCCTACATCACTCGAATGTTGAGGGCATGTTTGACATTTGGTCAATTGGTGAAATGGTCAGGGCTTGAGCCAATTGGACACTTCGCTAGCAAGCTAATTCTGCTGCTGTTGAACATGCAACATTCTTCTTGGAGATGATTGCACATGGCTAGTCGATTATGAAACGTTTCAGCAGGTGGGACCCAGCAACGTCCCAGTGGAGGGGTGGCAGTCTCGATGCACTGGTTGTATGCTTTGGCTATTGACTGCTGGTTACCTCACAGCCCTGGCTGCCTCTAGACCATTGTGCCCATGCTGGTTTGGATGTCTTTGGCTCCTTGCGCACCAGTTTCTTGGTTGTCAGCTTGACCGATCATAGCACAATGCTCAGGACGGTTAGCATCGATGTTCTTCCTTCTGGTGCAGTTGCATTTGCATGCTTCTTGAAAGATGGAGGGCTTTTGATAAGCTGAAAAGGCTGGCAGAAAACTGTAGATGCTGTGTTCTGGGTGCAAGTGCACTTTGCAAGGTCTATTATTACCTTAATAGCAGCATTTGGCCCCTGGGTCGTCAACAATAAGATGCAGTTTTCTCATGGTCGTTGTTTCTGTGTCAACCTGTGTGGCAGGCTCACTTCTGTGTTTTTTGGATACAAGGTTACCAGCATTCACATGAGCTTGTTGCCGTACACAAGGCCAGTGCTAACTGAGTTGGACATTGTGTTGTTCTACAGTCAAACAGAAACAGGTCCACAAGCACCATTGTGCAGATTTGCACAAACCATGCTCACATCCCTGGGTTGGTGACCGGTAGGTGGAATTGTGAGCGCCAACTCCACAAAGGACAGCTTATTTTTTTACTGTTGTTGACATTGCTACTGCTTTAATTTGAGCCACAATTGGGTCACTATCAACACAAGTAATCGTGACTGCATGCAGAGTTGCGCTCTGTTGGCTACTAAAACTGGATAGTTGGGGATGGGCAATATGTGTGTACTCTAAAGCTCCAATTATGTTACTCCATAGAGACACGTCTTGTAGCATGCAGCACGTGCTGAACAAATGTGCTTGTGGTGTGTTGCCATGGTGTAACATGCTGTTGAAGTTTCTGAATGATTGGGACGTGGCATCTTCCACAGTAACAGAGCCATTATATCCATGCTGTAAAAAAATGGCAACAATGGCACCAGACTGAGCTACAGCAATATCATAGGGGAATTGAGTGATGCCTGTGAGTTATGCTGCAATCAATTTGCCCTGGACAAGACGAAGTGGTGTTCTTGCACCTTGTGGGCGATGATGGGCTTGCGTAGTGCTAGGTTGGCTTCTGGTGCTAGCAAACCTTGGGTCTGTCCATAAACTGGGAGATTTCCTAACTAGAGCCACCATTGTCCATCCAAAACCAAAGAAGATGATCACAATTTAGGGGCTTAGGGATCTGGGGACCTCAGGTTCTGGACACTGCTGCAAATGAGGTTATGATTGCATGGCTGCTTGCTGCAATCTCCAAAACCAACATTCACCAAGTTAGCACAAGGCACCACAAGAGACACGCTGACATGGCAGCATGTTTGCATGCTAATTGCGCAGATTTACAGCACGTTGGCTGTGTCTGCAACTAGGTGCGTTCGTCACCCTGCTGCAACAGGTGGAGTACATTTCGTACATCCAGATGTATCGATCAATGGAGGTCCTTCTAGAAGAGTCAGAGAAGGCTGTGGCTGATCCAAACAGGGATTTCTCTACCAGGTCACTGTCTTCTCGTCACAGGGCCATTGACCCAATCACACTTTCCATCGTGGGTGGAGCAGCCACCTTCATTACTGCACTGGTTGCATGGCAGGTGCGCTCAGGCCCACCAGTCGGCCTTGGAGTCCATTGATGGAAGTTCTGTGTGAAGTGCATCTGGCAAGAGCTGTGCAGAGCGCACTGTGTATGCAATGTAGCCAAGGGAATGGAGTGGTGTGTGTGGAAATTGTCAGCATTGAATCAGGATGCCACACCATGTCTCATTTCGACTAGTGACCTCAATGCATTGCTCCCAAACATCTGAAACAAAGCCCTGGACTGAACAAGTAGAGTGTTGCATGTGAACTGTCAGAATTGGGCTTCTGTGTCCTGTCAAGACAACCCTCAGCCATTCAAGAAGTTGGACTTTGGCATCCCAAGCACCAGCAGGAGCTCTGTACGGAACACGATGTGTCTTGCAATAATCTAAGAAGGTAGACAACCACTTTGTGAACTGTCCTTGTTAGAAAGAGTCCTTGATGCCAAGCAACACTGTGACAAGGTCAACAATGATGCTCACACAGATTGTCGTCCCCGTGCAGGTTGATGCCAAACAAGTTGTCAATGTTGGAACGCGAAATGATCCAACAAAACCATCTGATTCCAAAATGGCACGTGTGCAGATCAAGGGTGCATTGAAGAGAAGGAAAGTTCAGAATGGCCAGAGGCTCATGGAGGGCGGCCTGGTGTTCACTTCAGCCGACTTCATCGATGAAGACATGAGCTTGATGTTCAGGGACTGGCATGGAGATCTGAACCCAGTATGGAGTGACGCTGCAGAGCCCAGGCCAATGGCACTGGGCAAAGTCCCTCCGGGCAAGTTTCCTCAGGTGCAAACCCCACCAGAGGGCAGCCCTGCTGTGAGCCACCAACATGGCAGTCAACACTTCGATGAGCATACTGCCGACCATGTGCCACAATCGGTGTTCTCTCAGGCACCGCAGGTGCAGCCAGGCTCTGTTGAGCCAGTTTGGCAACAGACCCAGCCAGCCATGAAACTCGATGGTGGCCAAGCGCTCGCTGAGCCATCCGATGCCAATCTGGAACCACAGCTCGCAAGGAACCTCCCATTGCCTGGTCGAGGACAAATTGCAAAGCAACCAAGATTGTCCAAATACCAGCTGTGGCCATGAAGCAGCTCGCGGTTGATGCTACCCAGGCCAAGTGCCACGGCACTATATTTGCAAGCAACACCATTGCATTTGTATACACACCCACATAAGAGTGTCGAAGCAGGCCTGGTTGTTGGGAGATGAGGTTTTGAGCGCTCCTCTTATTTGCTGAGGTGTTTCTCAAGGGTATGCATTTTACCAACTGGGGAGAAGTCACCAGTGTTCCATCCACCACTCCTAGAGCTGGCGGTGTTGATTGAGATGGCGGTGGCACAGCCCCAGATGGTGGGACCACAATGCAGCGCAACCCCGCAACCTGGCTGAACAGTCAATGCTCTGCTGGGGTGTTGGTGTGGCAAGTGTGCTGAAGCAGATATGCCGGATCCAGCGTCTTCACACCATTTGAAATAGGGCGTAGTGTAGAGTAGATTGCATACAGGCAGGCACAGCACCAGACGAAGCACATTGGGTGCAAGTGTTTTTTGTTGGATGCCAATGTTGATAGCATGTGTACATTGATAGGAAGCCAGGGTCGGACTGCAAGATGCTGTTGCTGTGGACACGGTTGTGAATATTTAGGGTGTTCAAAGGTGGGTGGTGACCTGCTGGCCAGATGGAGTAGGTTGGGGTGGCGATTGGCTGGCAGCGGCGGACAGATTGTCATCGATGAATTGGCCATTGCCGTGGCAGCACAGGTCACCGGTCATAACCCAGCTGGGCAAGACTGCCATGAGCGCCACACTGGGCACTGGAGGGTCACGAAAAGGATCCGACACAAAGTCCTGGGGACATGTCTGTGGCTGCCGCTACGTAGTGCGAGGAGTCGGCGTGCAAATTGATTTGCAAGCGCTGTGTGCGGGCCGCATGGCAAGTGTCTCATTTGTTTCACCTTGCTGCAACAGATCCATTTGTATGGAAAATGTAGTGCGACGCCAAGCTGCAAACAGTGTTGATGTACATGTGGGTGGAAAATTAAGCTCTGTGCAATGCGACTGGTGCAGAGAGAGATGCCGTTCAAGCTGGGTCCATTGCTGCTTCTTGATTGATTTCTTTAAATCCAAATGGCAAGAAACCAGTTGATGTCCGAAGTCAACAGAGCAGCAACGTCCTTTCTTGCACTTTAGATGTGCCACAGTTGCCGAAATGGAAGAGGCCAGAGCCCGGGTGATCCGTTGTAGTCAGTATCAAGAATGCTGCGCCACGCTGCAGCCATGTTTGATGCACGTGTTGGCATTTGCACACCTGACTGTGCGGTCACTGGGGCGGGCATCACGGCTGGCCGAGAACGATAGTCACTTGGAAAATATCGGGGACACGAAGCTGTACTAATATGAATGTGCGCCTTGCGGCGGAAGAAGCCAAAAGAACAAAGGAAAACAGCACACCGTGAAAAAACGGGGACTGCGAGAATTGTATGATCACGCAGTTTTGTTGCGCTGCAGCTCTCTGGACCGCTGTGGTTAACACAACAATGTCAGTGCCAATCATCAATGCCGATGAGATGACGTGACCCAGGCAGATTTCACGCTCGATGCTAACAGCACTGGGGCTGCGCCAGCACAATCATTTGGGAGGACGCGCCTCCCATGCCGGACGGGGCACATGGACGCTTGGAGGGTGTGCGCAAGTGATCGATACGCAAGTGTGCACGAATCAATCTAGATGGGATGGCGATCATGTTAGGCATGGGCGTTGATGCCAACCACGTCGATCGTATGCGTGGCCTGCGAAGTGGCAAGCGCTGCTGACCATGCAGAGGTGGTCACTGGGGCCCAGCCGACAGTATAATCTGTACGGATTTTTGAGGGATGATCTGGCATGGGCGACGAATGAACGAAGCTGAGCGTGGATGGCGGATTTTGGCCTGCCTGTCCTGAGCGCAGGAGCACCGCTGTCAGATTGAGGGACACAGCCGAGGCCTTGCGGTTTGCAGCAGTTGCTGGGCTGTTTGACACGCAGAGATGACGAAGGGCATGAACTTCAATGTGCTGTGCTCCAGGCCCTGGATTCCAGGGACGCCGCCAGCTCAGCATATATTATCAACGTATCATGCTTCGTGTTCGCACTTCGAAGTATATGATATAAGTATATTGTCTACCTTGCACAAAATATGAGAAACGCAGCTTGACCCGGTCGGGGCAACAGCGAACGGTTCCAAGTTCAGAAAATCTGTTTGGGGCAACGTGTCGCAGGTCTTGAAACTCAAGGTGCTGAAGAAAAAGGCAATTAGATTCAATTGTCGTGTTGATAAAGAATCTGCACAGCAGATTCACGAGTGGGGTGGGATGGGCAGTGGGGTTCCGGAGGTGGGGTGGGCAGCCTGTGTCCACGCATCGGCGAGCGGGCGGCCGTCCATGCAGTGGCAGACACCCAAGATTCAGGCGTCACGGCTGCCAGCGGAAGAGTTTCGTCCGCGATCTTTCCTGGGTGTGTGTGCAGACGTTAACAAAAACTTGTATTGCCCATACCCGGCAAGTGTTGCTGTGCCTGTTTCGCAACGAAGACTTCCTCTTTCAAGGACCACAGGACGGCGCACCCCTGGCGGTCACATTGTCCTGCACAGATCGCTGAGAAGGGCGGGTCGCACTGTTTGCTTGCCGCACGGAGACAGCCATCACAGCGGGGAAGTATGTTCATGCAAGGCACGTCCGACTACGTGAGCACAACCGTGTGCATGATGCTGGGGCGATTGGGATGTCGATCCCGTTTACCACTTTTCGTACTTTTTTCCACATCCACCACCGTAGCACATTCAACCCTTCCGCATAGTAACGTAGCACTTGGCCTTTTCCGGAGGAGAAACAATAAAAACGAACAACGCTCTTTCAACAAAATTCTTGGGGAGCAACGTGGAAAGCTAAAAATAACGCCCTGAAATACGAAACGTGGAGCCAAAAGCGTAACGATGACATTTTTTGACGCTGAAGGATTGAATATATGATGGTATGTGAGCACCACTGTGTGCATGATGCTGGGGCGAATGGACGCTCGATCCCGTTTACCACCACTCGTGTTTTTTTTTCTGCGCTTACGGGCTGCCGGCATCAACCATTGGCCATCATCACCCCCGAAGATCCGCCGCGCGATGAGGCGAAGGCGCGAGCGCCCACGCGTCCCGTCTTCTTCCCTCCGGCCGATTAATGACCCTAAATGGGCCGCCAGAATGGGGACTGCGTCAGTCTGGGCTCAGGGGCCCACCCCGGCCCTGGCAATCGCCCCAGGGCAAGCGCCAGCCCACCCGGCACCCCACCGGCGACCCCTCCCCCATCGACCCCGTGCCGCAGCCGCGCGGCGGCGTCCCCAGGGGCCCGCGGCAGGCGCCCGTCGAGCCCCGCGCGATCACGGGCCAAACATGACGGCGTCTTTACACACCAACACGCTGAACTGCCAATCCGCGCCGTCCATGCGCCACGCCCCACCCCACCGGGAAGGAAGTCCCACCCCCACCACTCACCGGCGATCCAACCCCCCCGGGCCCTCTGCCGGTCCGTCACGCACCCGCCCCCCCGGCGGCGTCACGATCCGCGCAGGCAGCGCCGCGCCAATCGCTCCGCCCTCCCCCGCCCCGCCCCGCCCCCGTCTCCCCACGCCCACACACAACCATGGCGAACCCGGTGGCGGCTCCCACCCGCACCGATACCCACACCACACCCACGTGAGGATACCCAGGCCGGGTCCCAGCTCATAGCCGGGCGATTAGGTGGTCCGCGCCGATCAGATGGGCGCCCTTCGGCCTCCGCGCCCGCGAACACGCGAGGCCGCAGCCACGTCCGCAACCCTCAGGGGCGCGGGCGGCAGCCGCCCCAGCCGAGATCGCCCGCCGCATATCCACACCGCTGGCTCCCCACAGCCCGGCGCACAGCCCTCCGGCGCCCCCCAGGCATTACTGCACTGCCGATCCGCCCCGCATGGCCCCCGCTCCCGCCCGGCGCCACCATTCTCCTCGGGGAAAATTCCCGAGCCCGACAATATGACCGCACCCGGCCGATGCCGTGCACCCACCTCGCAACAAACGGCACCCCAAGCGCACAGGCGCCATCCCCCGCCCCCTTTCCCCCACACCCCGCCACGCCACGCCGCGCACCGTAGCCCTCTGTACTCGCGCCGCGACGCGCCGCGGTTCCCAAATGTCGAAACCCACACAAGCTTGCCCCGCAGGTCCATTCCCCCAACCCCCGCTTCCCAAAACAGCGACCCCTCCGCCCCGATCCGAGCACGTCGCCGCCACGACCGGCCGCGCGCCGCGCCGGGGCAGCCCCCAGCCCTCTCCTCACCCCTTCTTCGCGGCCTTGGCCTTGGATTTGGCCGTCTTGGCCTTTCCGCCCTTCCCTGCGCCCTTGGCTGCCTTCTTGGCCGGCTTGGCCTTGGGCTTGGCCGCCTTGGGCGCCTTCTTCTTCATCCCCTTGGGCTTGGCGGCCGCCTTCTTGCCCGCGGCCTTCGCCTTCGCCTTGACCCCCGCGGGCTTGGCCTTGGGCTTGGCCGTCTTGGGCGCTGCCGCCTTGGCGGGCTTGGCTGCCTTGGCCGACTTTTTGGCCGCCACCACCGCCCGCGCCTTCGCCTTGGGCTTCTTCTTCAGCGAATCGCCCAATTTCCAGGACGCCCGCACTTTGGTCAGCTTGCCCTCGGCGGTCATCTTCTTGAGGAAGTAGGACAGCTTCTTGTCCCAGCCGTCCGGCAGGCTGTGCTTGGAGCCCACGTACTTCTTGATGGCGGCCAGCGAGCTGCCGCCGCGGTCCTTCAGCGACGCGATCGCCTCGGCGATCATCTCCGCGTAGGGCGGGTGGCCGGAGGGCGCCTTGGGCATGGCTTCAAGGTGCTCGCGACCGTGGCTGGGCGGCTCTGGGCGGCTGGAAGGAGGGGGTGCAGTGGGAGGGGCGGCAGCGCTGACGCCTGGCTGTTGTGCTGGGGCGGCACATGGGCCTGTTTTAAATCCGCGAGGAGGGGGGTGGGGGCCCGGCGATTATCTGGGGGCGTGATGGCGCCGATTTGGCGAATCGGGGCCCAGTCCTTTTCCGCTTTGG